TTGGGATAGAGCTGCTAGACATAGAGGAGAAGGAGGGGAAATGGCCCCAGCATCTGGTTCTGCGGAAGGTGAAAGAGAGCAGCAGCTCACCTGCCTACAGTCGCTCTTGCGCGTGAAGGTTTCGGGAGCACAGAAATAACTTTCTGTGTACTGGGCTGGATCAGTCTTTATTTACTATGCTTTTATCTTGCTGTTCCTCCGAAGAGCTCAAGGTGGCGAGCGTTGGCCTCCCTCCATTTTACCTCCAAAAAACCCTGTAAGGATGTTTAGGCTGAGAGTGTGTGACTGGCCCAAGGTCACATAGCAGGCTACATGGCAGGCTGGAGGGGCTGAACCTTGTGGATTCTCGTCCAAGACTTTAACCACTACACTAGGCTCTTCACGTTCATGAAGATTAGGCTGATTTGAGATAAACAACCCATCGATACTGAGTTGTAGAGGATGATGCCATGTAACAGCAGAATCAGTCTCCGTTAAATGCTGGATATAAGTTGGGGTTTCATGAAAAAAACAAGGGCTGTCAAGCGCCTGATCGGGGGACCCCGTGCCCCAAGTTCCCGTTGCCTGCCACTGCTTGGGGTGGTGGCAGGGGCTAAATTATTAAAAATTAAAATTAAAAATATTAGAAATTAGAAAAAAACAACTGGTGTCATGAGCATGGTGACATTGCTTCTGGGTACAATTTGGAAGTGGCAAATGGGTTAGAAATCGTCTGAAACTCTATGGTAAAACCATAGATCTTCTGGTGATTCCTAGAGCTACCCAATGGGACATTATTGTGCTCTCAGTGCTGCCCCCCACACCATGTTCCCACCCTCCAGCTGGTTTCCAGGCACAGGAACCTCTTACAAAACATGGTTATTTCATTTAAAAATTATATCCTGCATGAGAAGTGAATTACAGAAACCAACATGACCAAATATCAGCAAAACTGTTCCAACAATGAATTATTTTTCTGGATGTACAAGCTGTAAATGATGCTCCAGGGAAGTGACTACTAGAATAACACAAAGGTCCCCTTTTTGTAGAAGAGTTTTTCTGCCCTTTGCTGGGTCCCATTCTGCCCAGATGAGGCTAGATATGCCTGTAAATGGGTAGAGTGTGGCATGGCTGTACCTGTCATGATTTCTGCTAAGAATCCACTGGGGGAAAGCAGGGCTGTGCCTGAAATCACTGGGCTTAGAAGTACTTAACTCTTTTCTAGATGAGACCCAGCATATTAAATGGCGCTTGAAAAAAATTACTTTCATAGAAAGCCAAGTATAGGCATGTATGTTTGTTTTCCAGAATAACTTATTAAAAGGGAAGTAGTTTTTGTTGGCATGAACTGGGAGCAAGCTTTCATTAAAAGTTTATGGATTTTCTTGGCTTTCAGTGTAGGGCACACTGTGTTAGAAGGCTCTGTGTTACAATGGTACAGCTGTTCCTTGCTGGCAGCAATGCTCATGATGGTCTTGTATATATATTGAATTTTACAGTGAACATAACTTTCAAGTAACCCTCTTTAGGAGTATCGCCTCTCTGCGAGAGAAATTGGACTTTGCTTATGGTGTAGGGTCTGGGTGTAAGCAATCTATTAGAATATTTGGGTAAGATACTGTCTTTCCACCAACCCAACCATCCCTTCAAAGAATTCTTGTGAGGTTGAGGGCTGGTTCAGGGTCTTTCCTAGGCTCTCTGTCTGGCGGGATGCAGGAGCATGCCTTAGGGTTGTGCGTGCTCCTTGGGCAAAGATCAGATTTGCTGGTCTTTTCAACGTGTATGAAAAGAAAGGCATGCTTTGTGATGCCATTGTTTTCTAAGCAGCAGGTCCTTCCAAAAAGCAATAAAAAAATGCCCCACAACCTACCTGAGTACTTTGATTTACATAGTGAAGACCACTAGTGTAGACAACTTTAGGTTAGAAGTCTAACTTGGTATAAATAGGGATGCCAGACACACACACCCCGGTGGGGGCGGGGGTCTCCTGCTGACAGGCCCCACCTCTCCACCGCTGGTCAGCTGGCTGGCAGGGGGAAATTACCTCCCCACCAAGGGAGGAATACCCGGCATACCTGCAATGGGCCTACGTGACCCGGAAGTGACGTGGGGATGTCGGGGGCAACGCTCTGTGTTTGGGGCAAATACTCCATGGTAGAAGCTAATTCTACAATAGAGTTTTGCTCAAAAACCAGTGTGTGGCCCCCAGTGTCCCTGATGTGCCCATGTCATTTCCAGGTCACGTAGGCACATCGTGGAAACGCCGAGCATGCCTCCATTCTCCCGGTAAGTGCAGCCCTCTTCTCCCGCTGGCTGTTCGGAAGGGACCTGGCAACCCTAGGTATAAGCCAGTTTCATACGATCGTATGGCATGATAAAGCATGTATGCATATAGGCTTTGGTTCACAGTAAATGTTCTGTGTCATTGAGGATTGTGGGTTGAGTCTCACAGTCATAATCAGATTGGGCCAGGTTTCCCACATAGATCGCAACCACATTTTGACAAATTTTACTGCAGAAAACACTGCTGATGACCTCTGCGGCAATCGTAACATGTAGTGCTGTCCTAACAGAAGTGGGTTGTTCATATGAGTAGCTTTATTGATTTGGCTCATAAGAAACTGATATCTCTCCCCCACCCCCACTCTCATCCAGTATAAATGGATGTAATCCAACCAAAGTTAAGTACTTTTAAATCCCACTGGTTAATATGTGCCCAGCTCTACCACTAATGCTGGTGTTGTGACCTTATGGACTGGATCCAACCAGATTTTCTACAGGTTGGAAAAAGGAAGGAAGGGACTGCTTTGACCACCCTGAAAGGCTATGCTGGGGATCATTGTTTCTACTTGTAGAAAAGCCATTTGGAGCAAGTGGTGTAGCAAGGAGAGGAACTGGATAAGTTTGAACTGAAAACCTGGGTCTGACCCACTGACGTTTAGATCTGACACGAAGAAACTGGAATTCATTAACTACTGTGAAGGTTATATGTACAGTGCTTTGAATACCAAAATGTTACATAGTTACTGTTGTTATAATGAACAATAAGCTGATATGCATCTGTAATGGTATAGAACTAAGGGCATGCTTAATTATGCCACTGGGATTTGGCTGAAATGATTCCTGTCCCTGTACCTGTCTTCTCTGTCCATTTAAGGTAGAAGAACTGTATGAAGCCTACAGCATCCAGTGCAGACTACGAGATGGTGCTTCAAATATGAAACATGCCTTTTCCTTGTCCCCTTCCACTAAAGCGTCCAGGGAGAGCCTAGTAGAACTTTATAAGAACCTCCAAGAATGTACAGAGGTAGGACTGCATTTTGCCTGCGACTGAGACCTGTCCGTCAAAAATACTCCATTAACTTGGCATTGGCTATTAGATGCCCCTGTAGAATCTACTAGATTCAAGTCCAGTAGCATCTTAGAGACCCACAAGATTTTCAGGGTGTGAGCTTTTGAGAGTCAAAGCTCCCTCCGTCAGAATCTACCTGTTCTACTGCAGCTCAATATGGCTACCTCCCTCTTTGCTGGATAAATATTCAGTTCGTGTACACGCACACTTCCTCAGATACATCGAAATGGAAGTTAACAGTTCATATATAGAGACAGATGCCTCTGCATAGGTGAACAGCAAATTGGTATACAACTTAATGAAGATGTTTTGACATATGCAAAGGCCAAAGAGCAATAATAAGCCAGGTATATACAGTCGCCAGGGGGGCCACACCCTAGGGTCAGGTCCACTACATTTCGCCAGTGAGCCACGTATTCGATATCTGTATTGTAGGTCAGAAATCTGCCAGCATTTGCCTTTTCAGCATGTGCCTTTACCGCTCAATGGATTGAGTGTGTACATAGGTGCTGTCAAGTTGCAATTGACTTATGGTGACCCTAGTAAGTGGCTTTCAAAGCAAGTGAGAAGCAGAGATGGTTGACCACTGCCTTACTCTGCAGAGTCTTCCTTGGCGGTCTCCCTTCCAAGTACCAACCCTGCTGGGCTATGCCATGCCATTCTGTATCCCCTGTATACCTGTATACATTCTGTATACCAGAGGCTTCTGTTGACAGCAAAACTACCAGTGCATACTGGACACTGTATGCCCCAGCATGCTTGATGCCAATACTGCATATTTTTCTTTTAGGATATGTGTCTAATTGAGGGGACACTTGAAGTACACTTAGGAGAATTTCACCTGAAGATGAAAGGTAAATGGAGCTTTTTCTAGGAAGGTTTGAGTTGAGTATGGAAGGATGGTTGTTAGGGATGCGCTGGAAATGGTGGCCCCAAGAGCACAGGTGGTTGTGTCCACCAAGCAAAGTGTCTCAAAGTGATCTATAACTTTGGCTGGTGGTAAGATCATAACTGGTGAATGATGGTTGTTTTCATAATCCTCCTCTTCTACCTCCCCAGATATTATGGCACATCTTCCCTGTTTCTCAGTGCTCCTCAGTGGTGTGAATACATAAGTGATCTTGGAAAACAATTGGGTTGCAACACACTCCCCACTCTTAAACTGTCTATGGGACTATCACTGCATCTCTTGGGGTGCTTTGAAACTCCTGGATATCATAACCAATGCTCCCTCTAAGCTGTGGAGTCTTGCGAGCCAAAATTCTACTCTGTGAGCTACTGGTATTAAAGTTGTGAGCTCCTGCATAAATTAGTTTGTTCTGGAACCATCCTTCCTGAGCTAAAACAAAAATGTGTGAGCCGGAGGCTAAAAAACATAGCTTAGAGGGAACACTGATCATAACACCATTAGAATATCTCAGAATTTAATAAAACATGAAAACTACCTTTGCTGAGGGTTGTCCTCTATTTTGGTGGTTCCAGCTGTCTCTCACATAATCACATTAGCAATTTGTGTATTGTTTCAAAGTGTTCAAAGCAACCTTGAATTATTATATTGCAGGTCGGGGGCCTGAGGCCACCAAATCAGAATCCACTGAATACCATGCAACATTCCAACTCTTCATTAAAAAAAAATAGATGCTGAAGGTTCCAAATACAAATAGAGGAAGAGCCAGTGGAGAAGGGGGTGCTAATGACTTCCTGGGCCAGTTTCCCCCCCATTTCAAAATTGCCCCAGGTGCTTTTTTTGTGCGGGGGGGGATAAGAATCCCCCCCATGTATCTTTTCTTGTTTTGAGTATGTAGGTACTTTTTAAAAAATAATAACTTATTTTGATAGCTTGACCCTCATATATCATAGCCATATCTTGGGTTGAGTGCCCCCCTTTTTCTCATTTTTTTTGTATAGCCAGGAAATCTGAAGATTGTCTGGCAGTCTTAAGTTCTAACTCTTTAGGGTTATGCATCACTAGGTGGGCCCACTGCCCTCTGCCCTCAAAGCTTCTGCTGTGCCAGGACACCATGTTTCCCTCCACCTCCACCCCTCACTGACATCGATGCTGGTGAGCCCGAAGGAACTGAGGGAATAGGGGCGGTCCGCCCGAGGTCACATGACCTGTTTGGAGCAAATAACGGCAGACTCAGATGAGAAAGGCTGGACTGCCCAGTTCTAGAACTTTTTAGCTAAAGAAATTAGTCTCCGAGGCTGGCCTGTGCATGCGCAGTCCCAATAGTAGTAATAGTAGTAGTAATATACTTTATTTCAATGTGTATGTAGGTACTTCATTTATACTTTGCCTTTTTCATAGACACGAGGTGGATTACCAGAGTTGAAACCTGACAATACCATAGAAAACCAGTCCGTTAAAATGGCAACCCTGCATGAAAAATGCCCTCCTGAATGCCTCTGTTTTGGCATTCTGTGGCATTGGCAGTAGTGTGGGAGCCCTCCTGACCTCATCAGTCAGGCTGTTGTGCCTGGTGGGGGCCGCAACAGAGAACGCTCAGGTGTAGGTGCTGTTGGCCTAACTCACTTGCAGAGCAGCTGAGGTGAGAAGAGCAAAGCTGTCACAGTGGAGAGAAGAAACGCAGATCTGGGAGGAGCTCTTGAGAAGGGCAATGACAAGAGGAGGGTTAAGCATCCCTGCCCCTCCTCCTTCCTTAATTGAAGCCTGTTTTTCATTCTGATCAAAAAGGGTAACGTCCCACGAAACTCCAGGTGTGATGATGATTGTCCCTGCGGTCATGGCAAAAGTGACATTTGAACCCAGATTCACAGCTCAGTCTTTTGGCCACCACGCTGTGCCAGATCTTCAAAAGCTATCTCATGGTGGAAAGTAACTTCCCTCTGCACTGAAGCACTCTTTACTAAAGACAGGTTATTGCAAAAGCCTTGCTACCTCCCAGCCTGCCTATGAGAGCTAAACTAGACATTTCGCTTTTTTAAAGAGTTGGCCTGAATGAAATGGTTATGTCAGGATCACTGTTCCCTCTAAGCTGTGGAATCCTGTGAGCAAAATTTCTACTTTGTGAGCTACTGGCATTAAAATTGTGAGCAAGTGATTTGGCTACTGCATAAATTAGTCTTCTCTGGAGCTGTTCTTCCTGAGCTAAGACAAAAATGTGAGAGCTGGAGGCTAACAAACTGTGAGCTAGCTCACACTAACTCAACTTAGAGGGAACACTGGTCAGGATCCGCTGGAGCTGGGTCTGATTCTCTCTCTCTAGGGTTGCTTTTTGTTGGGCAAGTGCCCCAGGATAGAGCCTCAGAATAGAGCAAGAGGGGAGGGGGTTTCCTTTTATCCAGTTTCCCCACACTGCTCTGCCAAGTACCTATTCCCACCTGCCAGGGAATGAATCTGGCTCATCCTTCCTGGCCATTCCTGGGCACACCTTTTAAATGCTTCCCCAAGGGAGGGCCAACCCTGGGCTCAGCCAATCCTCTCTCTCCCCAACCCAGGCCTGGGAGTGACAGGCCCCTGGGCCAATGGAAAGAGCTGTCTGCCACTGCCCAGCCTTCTCTAAGACTGTCAGTGCTGCCTGCCATCCCTGCCCCTATGGCAGAGCTCCTCTGGGTCTCAGTGCCAGGGTCCTCTCTGGTAGAAATTGGGCTGGCTTGGCTTCTGCTGCTGGAAGCCGGCTGGGCTCCTTCAAGCTGGCTGACTCCCGAATAGACTCTGTCAACGTCATGCCCTGCTGCAACCTGGCAGACAATTTCCCCAGCTTTCAAGGCTTGCTGGTGCAGCATGCCTTTGGTGGGGCTTGCAGTCCCCTGGGGTAATTGCGGTGGCAGTGATGCTGACCCCAGTAAAGGTAAAGGTAAAGGTTCCCTTGCTCGAAAGCCAGTTGAATCCGACTCTAGGGTTGCGGTGCTCATCTCCGTTTCAAAGCTGAAGAGCCAGCGCTGTCCGAAGACGTTCCCGTGGTGGTCGACTTCCGGTATGGCGTTTCGACGGACGGGGGGAGCGCGACGAGCTCCGGCCCCGTCCGAACTGCTCCCGCTTTATTTGAGCCCCCCGAGGCTCGGGGGAGCTCGACCACCCCCCCGAGGGTGGGGGATGGAGCAGGGGGCGTCTTTTCGGATGCGTCACCGGCGTCTCGCCCCCAGACAGCTTGTTAAAAAAATAACTCAGTGGGGAGGATAGGATCCTGCCCCAAGCCCTTGTCCCACATGAGAACAGCACGAGGTGTGGGGGAGAGTTGCTTTTGTTCCTCCATGGGCACAGAATACTCCACATGGAGCAGCAAAAGCAAGGAAATAATGCCCTCTCCCTAGTGCTGTTTCAACTCACAAAACAGCTGGGGGGAGAGGCAGGAATCCCTTCTTTCTCCTGTGATGGCATTCCAAGCCCAAAGGGGCAGTGCTTTATTTTTTTTAATAGCCATTCCCCATGGTTACTCTCTGGCTGCAGGGAACCCGGACCCGACTTTCAAAAAGCAAAAAAAAGCAAGCGTGTCATTTGGCTCTAAATCTGCTGTATGGGGTTTATTTGAAAGGATGGTAACCAGAACTCTTTCTTCTAAGATCTCCAGCTATTTATGTTAATGGTTTCCTTTCTTGGAGTCTACGAATGTTACAAATTCCTCTCTTGTTTTGTATTGTTTCCAGGGTTGGTGGGTTATGCACGTCTCTGCCCGGGAGACCAATATGAGGTATAGTATATAGCAGTCCTGTTTCTTCATCTTGCAAAATGCAAATGTGGGTTAACTGTGAAAACAGGTTTAGCCTTTAGAATAATGAATGAGGTTTCTGTGCCTCTTATGGGTGGCAACACGGCTGTAGCTTATCTGTATGTAACTAGCATACCAGCTAACCCCACCCACTCACATGGCTAGGAGATGCATCCTTTGCACAGACCCAATTTGAGAGTTATTGAATGTAACTATATATTCTGGACTGAATTAAGTTCTATGCTAAATAAGCTCTAGAGAACCAGTTCAGTCCCTGCTGGAATGTAATTATTCTATTATTCAGCAGGGGTTGTAACTCATCTGTAGAGCATCTGCTTTGCGGGCAGAAGGTCCCAGGTTCAATCCCCGGCATCTCCAGTTTAAATGAATAAGGTATATTAGGTAATGTGAAAGATCTCTGCCTGAGACCCTGCAGAGCTGCTGCCAGTCAGAGTAGATGATACTGACCATGATAGACCAATGTGCAGACTCAGCATAAGGCAGCTTCCTGTTGACAGAGTGCACTCAACCAGACGGGTAAACTAGGTAACCCATCTAAGGCTGAATAGTTTTATTTGCTTTATTTGTAGCCTGCCTTTCTCCCCAGTAGGACTTACATAAGAGCCAGTTTGGTGTAGCGGTTAAGAGTAGTGGGCTCTAATTGGGAGAACCGGGTTTGATTCCTCACTCCTCCACCTGAAGCCTGCTGGGTGACCTTAGGTCCATCACAGTTCTCTCAGAGCTGTTCTCTCAAGAACAGTTCTCTCAGAGCTCTCTCAGCCCCACCTACCTGACCGGGTGTCTGTTGTGGGGGAGGAAGGTAAGGTGATCGTAAGCCACTCTGAGACTCTTTATAAACCCAACTCTTCTTTGTCTTTGTCGTCGTCGTCTTTCTCCTCCTTCTCCTCATCTTCCTCCTCCTCCATTTTATCCTCACAACAACCCTGAGATTATGTGCCTGTCCCAAGGTCACTCTGCAAGCTTCCATGGCCGCATGGGGATTTGAACCTGGGTCTTCCAAATCTAGTTCAAAACTTTAACCACTAACCTAAGGGCTGTCCACGTCTTGCTTGTGGCTGGTGCCCTGGGCTTCCGTTGTGTCCAACTCCTTGAGCAGATGAAGGCCCAGGTCACACATGCAGGGGACTGAGGTGGCAGAATGCTGAGGTGATGGAACAAGGCTTGACCCGGTCTGCAGGTGGGGAACTCATATTTTCAAAACCACCCAATAAGGTCAGCTCATCAGGGGAAGGGCTGGGCTGTGGAGTCTTTTATTTTCCATTCTTGTTTTCTAACAGTAGTAGTTAGTGCGTACACGGGCAAGCCTTCAGAAGTGGTACTTAGTGTGTACACGGGCAAGCCTTCAGAAGTGGTACCACCCACTGTAGTGTGAAGGGGAAAAGTCTGTCCCTTTATCTCTTCATTCTGTGGACCTTATTCCCATCTCATTCTGCCGTACTTGTAAACCCCCACTGGAGTGAACTCCAGAATCTGTTGATGGCTGAAGGTAGTTAAGTGAAGACGCACATGAACACACATGAAGCTGCCTGACACTCAATCAGACTGAAAGTCTGGTCTACTCAGACTGGCAGTGGCCTTACAGAGTCTCAGGCAGGGATCTTTCACATCACCTACTGCCTGGTCCTTTCAGCTGGAGGTTGCAGGGGTTCTTCTGCTGAGCCACAGCCCCACCCTGTGGTACCTTTCTGGCTTGTGCGGAGGCTGACTTTGTCCCCAAGCAGTGACAGCCTGGTCTAGAACTTCAGGTGAGGAGAGACTGCGGCTCAGCTGGAGAGTATTTACTTGACATGCAGAAGGTCCCAGGCTGAGCTCTTGACTACTCCAGGATCTTGGACAGCCAGTGTTGCGGAAAAGACTTTTCTCTGTCTGGGAACCCAGAGAGCTGCTAGGGTTGCCAGTCCTGTGTTGGAAAATTCCTCGAGATTTGGGGGTGGATCCTGGGGAGTATGGGGTTTGGGGAGGGGAGGGACCTCAGTGGGGTATAATTTTTATTTTATGTTATTGGATTTATATCCCAGCCTCCCCGCATAGTGGGCTCAGGGCAGGCTCCATCGTAAAAACGATGCGAACAGTTAAAAACATTAAAATAAATCGATTAAAATACCATTACGCATATTTCTAGCCAGTGCCTCAACAGGTGAGGGTCTAGTGTAGTTTGGGTTCCAGATGACAAAACAGATCCGACCCGCTGAAGGGGAGGCCCAATAGACCCACCGCCTCAGCTAAAAGCCTGGCGGAAGAGCTCCATCTTGCAGGCCCTGTGGAGCTGTAAAAGGTCCCGCAGGGCCCTAATCGCATATGGGAGCTCATTCCACCAGGCAGGGGCCAGGGTCTACCTTCCGCAGCAGCCATATTCTCCAAGGGAAATTGATCTCTGTTGTCTAAACATCGTTTGTAATTCTGGCTGATCTCCCGCCCCAACCAGAGGTCAGCAAACCCTAGCAACAAGTCAGAGCACTGTGCTAGAAAGACAAATTTCCTGACTTGGTTGAATGCATCTTCATATGTTCCCCATGCAAAATGTGCTGGCTTGTGCTATCGGCACTTAGAACAACTAGCCATTACTACGGTTGGAAAGTGTGCACAATCTGTGCAGAATCCTTTGTTTTCTATAAGCTTCCTTCAAAATTTCCCACAGCTCATCCTGTAGAGGCTGCTTAATCTGTGTGAGTTAAGTACCATCAGGTTGCTTCTGACTCATGGCAGCCCTGTGAATTAATGACCTCCAAAATGTCCTGTCATTGCTGAGGTCTTGCAGACTGAGGGCCGTGGCTCCCTGGATTGAGTCAATCCATCTCATATTGGGTCTTCCTCTTTTTCTTCTGCCCCCAACTTTTCCTAGCATGACTGTCTTTTTGTAGGCTGCGGTCACATGAGCAGTTTGCAGCAATATCGTTGCAGTGCCTTTGCGGATTTAAAGGGCATGATCCGACAGCAACATCTGCCTTCCGTGCCCCAGTTGTGATCACCCCGTTTTGCCCCACTTCAGGAGCAGAGTACCCAGGCACCAAGGAAAGTCTGGTCTTTACTGATGCCAGTACTTCCCCTTCACTTTTCCGGCCGTCTGAACTCCTCTGTCCCGAACTGAAGCTGGATGGGAAGTCTGAACTGGCAGATCAGTTCCTGCTGGGTTTTTTTTAAGGAGCTGCCGATGTTCGCATAAGCATATGAGTGCATATGCACATGTGCCTGCCTGTTTTTTAAAGAAACCCAACCAGGCAGCATGCTCTGTGGTTGAGGCGCTGCAGTAATGTGGATGCCTCACTACTAGACAAGCGCTTGGGAAAACTGCCTCAGGGTGTGCTGTCTGGTTGGTCCTTCCCGCAACAATTTGAACCGGCGTGCTTAGAGGCACGCCTAGACTGCACCAAGCCTCCAGTGTGACCGCAGCCCTAGTGACTCTGGTCTTCTTATAATGTGGCCAAAGTACGAAAGCCTCAGTTAACCCTCTTATTTATTTATTTTAAAAGTGTTAAGATATCGCCAGGACACCTGCTTGAGATGGCTCGCAAAGTAAAAACAAGACAACAAAACCATTTTTAGAAGATCAGTGTTAAAACAAGCATTAAACAACATTCAGCTGCTTAAAATGCTATGAAACAGGCTCAAAGAACACCATGAGCCACTGATACACCATAAGCTCTGGCCCTTTCTCACATGCCCAGGGAAATGCTGATTGCCACTTTGGCATGAGGAAGCAATTTTTCTCCAGGTCAGTTTAGCCAGGGAACCTGGAGGTTTTTTGTCATCCTCTGGGCACGGAACAGCAGTCACTGGGGGTATGGTGGGGGAGGTATTTGTGAATTTCCTGCATTGTGCAGGAGGTTGGACTAGATGACCCTGGAGGTCCCTTCCAACTCTGATTCTATGAAAAGAAAAACTCTGTGATTCCACGGAAAGAAAAAAGATGGAATTGCTCCATTAAAAGCTTGAGTAAAAAAGAAATGTCTTGGGCAAGTGCAGTGCTTTGGGGGGGGGGAGGTGCCAGAATTCTCAAGAGGGAAATGAAGTTTTCAATCTGTATACTGAAAACTCATGGACTTTAAGCATTTTTAAAAGAATCTTGTTGAAGAGGTTCTGGAACTCTGTTCCGGCACGTCCCCCCCCCCAAAAAGCCCTGGGCAAGTGCGTAAAGGACAGTAAGGCAGAGACACTAGGCAGGCCTTGGTGGGGAAGGCATTCCAAAGGAGATGAGTCTGAATTTCTCCTTGGTTATGATTTGGTACTGAATACCTCTTTTTATTCTGCCTTGCTGCAAGGCAGGATCTAACATGATTAAAACAATGTTTCCTGCTTGGTGCTTGTTTGTGTTTGAATATTTTCCATCAGGAAATGAGCATTTTTAAACAGCTTTTTTTTGGGGTGGGGGGATATGTTGTAACTTTCTTACTATTTCCTATGTACATAAGGGACCAGCATATATAACAAGCATATAGAATTAAAAAGTCATGTAAGAAGGATAAAAGTATGTATAACAGCACATCGTAGGGGAAGAGGAACAGAACTGATGAAATTATAAATGGATTTTAAAGAAAAGAAACATGGCATAGTCGTACATCTTTAGGTGGTTCTTCCCTTGCTAGTGCAGCAACAGTTATGTAGGAGAACTCTGCAATTTCGGAATGAATGTCCTCTCTGTGGTCTGGCATGCATCTGGTATGATTTTGGAAGCCTTGAAAAAGAGAGGGTGTGCCTGCACATAGGAGTGTGAGCAAGGGAGAATATAAGACCTACGTTTAAACAAAAACCCATCTATTTATTTTTATTCTACCCTTGCTCCAAGGGCCTCAGAATTATGTTCAGAGTTCTCCCCTCTACTGTCTTATGCTCCCAGTAACCGTGCGAGGCGGGCTGTGCCTGGCCCAAGGTCACCCTGCGGTCTTTATGACCAAGTGGGCAATTTGGACTCAAGGCTCCTGAGTCCTCGTCTGACACTCTCATCACTATATCATGCTGACTATAGGTTAGAGAAAGGGGAATTATAGTTCTTAAAGAAAAAGGACTGCCTATTGTTGTATGATAGGGTTTCTAACCTACCTGTGGCCTGGAGATCTCCCAAAATTACAACTGAGCTCCAGACGTACAAAGATCAGTTCCGCTGGAGAAAATGGCTGCTTTGAAGGGTAGTAGGCTTGCCAAGTCCCCCTGGGGGGCGGGGAAACCCCTGCCCCAGAGGCCCGTTCCCCGCCGCTGGCTGATCGGGCCCCGGGGGGAACCCCACCCCAACATGCACGTCACCCAGAAGTGACGTGACCATGCCGGGCACGCTGGGGGCGGGGCCCCGGTCATCCGAGGGAAAACTCTATGGTTTTCCCTCAGATGGTCGTGGCCCCGCCCCCAGCATGCCGAGCGTGGTCGCGTCACTTCAGAGTGACGTGGATGCGGGGTGCGTGTGCTCCAGTCGCCAGACGGGAGTCCCCCGCTGTGGTGAGATTCGGACTTGGCAACCCTAAAGGGCAGGGACTCTATAGCATTACACTTTGCTGAGGTCCTTCCCCAGACTCCACCCCCCCCCCAGTCTCCTGGAATTTCCCAGTCTGGAGTTGGCAACCCTATGGTATGAACCTCTGCACCGTAGCATTAATAAAGCATGGCAGTGCCCTTCCCCAGCTAAGTTCACAGTGAATGGCACAAATCAAAGGTGGCTCCACCCCCTTATAATCTCCCGCCATTTTTTTGTAGCTGAGAGCAGGGCTGGCCATACCCAGCCAGTTGTTCTAGTGCAGATTGATGAGTTTTCTAAATCAAATTGGAAACCAAGGGCATCACTCTTCCTGTTCTCGCACTCTGCATCCAAACCCTGCCCTGAACAAAGTTGCCTCTCATTGGTGGTTGCTAAGTCAGCAGATCTAGACATGGGCAGCTCATCCTAAGGAAATTCTAAAGAAATTCTAAGGAAACCCCAAATTCCTTGTTTGCTATTTGACCCACAATACAGGAGAGCATTTCCTGGTACACCACCAGTTTTAAGAAGTCACGCAGTACCCATGCTGTGTGGGCTAACTTAAATCACTGCAGCTGTTGCTTTTGGTGGTACCCTCTCATCAGACTTTGCATCCATTTTCCGCATAGCCCTGGAACTTTACTGTGATAGTCCCCGTACTGTAGAACAAGCTGCCTGCAGAGGTACAGAAGACATCGCCACCACATTTTGAAAGGCCCGTAGAGCATTCTGATTCATATGGAACAGTGGATGAGCTGTGAGAGGAAAAACAAAAACTTTTGACCTACTTAACGATTTCCCCATTTAATGGCACTTGCAGCTTTAATTTATTGTGTCATTGGATCTTATTTTAACTGTACTGAACTTAGGGAAGGCAGAGAAGAGATTTTTAAATGCATGACTTTACAAGTACATTATCATTTGTCAGGAAGTCAGGCTATAGTTTGGGTCCCCCAGAGGTCTTCCATGGACAGAAAGATTAAAACTCACAAAGTATAACTTTGTGGCATCCCTGGTTCTACTGCAGCCCGAAGTGCCTATCCCAAACGTACTCCTAGGATAGAGCAGCAAAGTGCCCCCACAAATGCGTCTCTTTCCCAGGAGGAACGTTTCCAGGGGATGTTTTGGGTTGGAGGGGGGGCAAGAACAGACAACAGAGATCTATTTCCCTTGGAAAATATGGCTGCTGTGGAAGGTAGATGTCCTTCTTGCCTCAACTAAGGCCAGGGCTTTTTCAGCCCTGGTCTGTACCTGGTGGAATGAGCTCCTGTATGAGATCAGGGCCCTGCGGGACCTTTTACAGCTCCACAGGACTTGCAAGATGGAGCTCTTTCCCCAGGCTTTTAGCTGAGGCGGTGGGTGCCCGCCATCTATTGGGCTTCCACTTCAGTGGGTCAGATCTGTTTTGTCATCTATCACCTATGAAATCACTGTGTATCTTGTCGGCACGTTGGATGCCAGAATCCAAGGAGTTCTTTGAGAAACTCTCATTGAATTCAAATGCTAGCTGCACGCTAGGATGCATTTAATCCCCTTGCGTGTCTCTTCAGGTGTTCGTACGGCTGGGACGCCAGAAGTGGAAACTGAAAGGGAAGATCGAGACTGACGACAGTCAGACATGGGATGAGGAAGAGAAGGTTTTTATACCCAATCTCCATGAGAAGTTTGAAATCAAGGTAGTAACTTATGTTGGCTAGAGTTGCAGCCTCTTTGTTAGCAAAGCTGGGTGGAAGGTTCCTGTATAGCTCACAGCTCCTTGCAAATGGCCATAATGCTTAGTTCATTGTCCCAGCCTTTGATTTTTCTGCTTACCTTCTTCTGCTTACCTTTCCTTAGTGCTTGATTCCCCCTCCCAGAAGGCAGATGGGTAACTCCAGTGTTAATATATGCATAGAACAATTCATATTATGGTGGCTAGTTTTTAAATGATTGTATCGGGAAGGTCTAAAATGGGTTCCCAGATTTGGAGAACTGGTTAATTGGCTTCATTTGTACAACTTTCCTGGGTGGGAATTTTGGAATACGTAAGGCCACTGAGAGAGTGCATCCAATATGTTTGCTAGGAACTGTGTTTTTTAAAAAACAATCAGCCTTTGAGGATATCAGATTTTGCGGAGCATAACAGATCTTGTGGGGTGAGCTGCAGCTCTGTAGGCTAGAAAATCATGATTTATAGTCAGATCTTGTTTCCCCTACCACACTTTTTCCACAAGACAAGAAGCAGCAAGGATCCCCTGTCTCCCCCCCCCCTTTGCTGTGTTCCTCTGTTGCTCTTTGTGTGGGATACACACACACGCACCAAGAAAAACAGTCATAGCTTGCAGGAAAGCACTTCTTCTGTCCATGTTGAAGAATGGTAGAATGGATGGAAGCACTTCCTTCATGACGTGCTTCCCTCCTAGCAAGAAAGGGAGCATGGAACCTTAATTAAGGGCACTACTTGAGTCTGCTGCAGGTAACGAGGTTGCCAGGATTCATCCTGTAAAAAAACACAGGTGGTACAGTTTGCTCCCTTTCAGATGGCTAAACAAGTTGATTCACATGTGCCTGCACTTCACCATCTGTATTTTCTGTTCTGACCTTCCTTTTAAAAAAATTAGGACTGTTTTTATGGTCCCCCCTCCATTTTATCTTCACAATAGTAAGTGGAAGGTCGGTAGTTCAGCAGTTCGAGACCCGGGTTGCCGCATGACGGAGTGAGCTCCTGTCTCTAGTTCCAGCTCTTGCCAGCCTAGCAGTTCGAAAGCAAGAAATTGCAAGTAGATAAATAGGTACCACTTCGGTGGGAAGGTAACAGCGTTCTGTGCGCCTCGGTGTTTAGTCATGCCGGCCACAGGACCACGGAAACGTCTTCGGACAGTGCTGGCTCTTCAGCTTTGAAACGGAGATGAGCACCACAACCCTATGGGGGGCAAGAACAGACAACAGAGATCTATTTCCCTTGGAGAATATGACGAATTTCAGACAGACAATATAATCCGGAAGAGGAATGGTTCCCAAACGGTTTCTGGTCTGTCATTTCAGACAGAACTGTTTTAGAACCGGTTCCCTACCGGAATATATTTGTAATTTCACACACAAACGCTTCTGTCCCATTTAGGAAACAGGGCTGAAGCGTTTTACCTGTCAACCGCTTCCAAGTATTCTTCAGTTTCCTCTCCCGGTTCCGATGCGCTTTTCCCCGCCTTTTTTCGCCCGCACGGGCTATCTCCGGCTTTTTTTTAACGTTCGCTTTATGGCGCTATAGCGCTATAACTTAGCAGCATTATATCGACCCCATTGGAATGCCTGGAGTGTTGTGTTATAGCGCTCTAAAGCAAACGTTTAAAAAAACCCCGGAGATCGCCTGCGCGGGTGAAAAACGGCGGGGAAAAAGCGGTGCAGTCTGAAATGGCAAACCGCTTCAGATCCAGCTCTTTACCGGAAGGAGAAAGCCATGTGTGAAATGGCAGCCCTATACCGGTTTACTCCATGACTGATCAAAAACGGCTTCAAAATGGCTTAAAAAGGGTAATGTGAAATTCCTCTATGGCTGCTGTGGAAGGTAGACGTCCTTCTTGCCTCAACTAAGGCCAGGGCTTTTTCAGCCCTGGTCTGTACCTGGTGGAATGAGCTCCTGTATGAGATCAGGGCCCTGCGGGACCTTTTACAGCTCCACAGGGCTTGCAAGATGGAGCTCTTCCCCCAGGCTTTTAGCTGAGGCGGTGGGTGCCCGCCATCTATTGGGCTTCCACTTCAGTGGGTCAGATCTGTTTTGTCATCTATCACCTATGAAATCACTGTGTATCTTGTCGGCACGTTGGATGCCAGAATCCAAGGAGTTCTTTGAGAAACTCTCATTGAATTCAAATGCTAGCTGCACGCTAGGATGCATTTAATCCCCTTGCGTGTCTCTTCAGGTGTTCGTACGGCTGGGACGCCAGAAGTGGAAACTGAAAGGGAAGATCGAGACTGACGACAGTCAGACTTGGGATGAGGAAGAGAAGGTTTTTATACCCAATCTCCATGAGAAGTTTGAAATCAAGGTAGTAACTTATGTTGGCTAGAGTTGCAGCCTCTTTGTTAGCAAAGCTGGGTGGAAGGTTCCTCTATAGCTCACAGCTCCTTGCAAATGGCCATAATGCTTAGTTCATTGTCCCAGCCTTTGATTTTTCTGCTTACCTTCTTCTGCTTACCTTTCCTTAGTGGTTAATTCCCCCTCCCAGAAGGCAGATGGGTAACTCCAGTGTTAATATATGCATAGAACAATTCATATTATGGTGGCTAGTTTTTAAATGATTGTATCGGGAAGGTCTAAAATGGGTTCCCAGATTTGGAGAACTGGTTAATTGGCTTCATTTGTACAACTTTCCTGGGTGGGAATTTTGGAATACGTAAGGCCACTGAGAGAGTGCATCCAATATGTTTGCTAGGAACTGTGTTTTTTAAAAAACAATCAGCCTTTGAGGATATCAGATTTTGCGGAGCATAACAGATCTTGTGGGGTGAGCTGCAGCTCTGTAGGCTTGAAAATCATGATTTATAGTCAGATCTTGTTTCCCCTGCCACACTTTCCCCACAAGACAAGAAGCAGCAAGGGTCCCCCCCCCTTGCTGTGTGCCTCTGTTGCACTTTGTGTGGGATACACACACACCAAGAAAAACAGTCATAGCTTGCAGGAAAGCACCTCTTCTGTCCATGTTGAAGAATGCTAGAATGGATGGAAGCACTTCCTTCATGACGTGCTTCCCTCCTAGCAAGAAAGGGAGCATGGAACCTTAATTAAGGGCACTACTTGAGTCTGCTGCAGGTAACAAGGTTGCCAGGATTCATCCTGTAAAAAAAAACAGGTGGTACAGTTTGCTCCCTTTCAGATGGCTAAACAAGTTGATTCACATGTGCCTGCACTTCACCATCTGTATTTTCTGTTCTGACCTTCCTTTTAAAAAAATTAGGACTGTTTTTATGGTCCCCCCTCCATTTTATCTTCACAATAGTAAGTGGAAGGTCGGTAGTTCAGCAGTTCGAGACCCGGGTTGCCGCATGACGGAGTGAGCTCCTGTCTCTAGTTCCAGCTCTTGCCAGCCTAGCAGTTCGAAAGCAAGAAATTGCAAGTAGATAAATAGGTACCACTTCGGTGGGAAGGTAACAGCGTTCTGTGCGCCTCGGTGTTTAGTCATGCCGGCCACAGGACCACGGAAACGTCTTCGGACAGTGCTGGCTCTTCAGCTTTGAAACGGAGATGAGCACCACAACCCTAGAGTTGGACTCGACTGGCTTTCGAGCAAGGGAACCTTTACCTTTACTTTGTCAGGTGGGCTAGGGTGACTGTCCCCAGGATTTCGTGGCTGGAGGGAACAAACCATCCCTGGAACCAGAGAGCTCTGTTTTGATAAGTAGATGCGGAACCGCAAAGAGTAACAACTGTTTATGCGTGTGGGTCACTCCTTTACCTCTCGCTTTTCTCCTCAACAGTGAGACAAAGTGGCTCACAATGCAAAGTGCACAGCAGTACAGAAAGATCAACCAGGCTGGAAAAGTGTGTGTGGGGTTGCTATCTTCCTCTGCCAGGGGATCTTCCTGCCACCTCTAGGCTGCGACCCACACTCCCTCTAAGCTGTGCAGTCTTGTGAGCAAAAATTCTACTTTGTGAGCTGCTGGCGTTAAAGCTGTGAACGAGCGATTTGGCTACAGCATAAATCAGTTTGCTCTCGAGCCCTCCTTCCCGAGCTGAGACAAAAACGTGTGAGCTGGAGGCTAAAAAAACTGTGAGCCAGCTCACACTAACTCAGCTTAGAAGGAACACTGGCTACGACCAATGTTCCCTCTAAGCTGTGGTGTCTTGTGAGCAGGGCTATTTTTGGGCAGGAACGCACAGGAACGGAGTTCCGGCTGGCTTCCAAGTTGGCCACACCCAGCAGAAACTCATTAGCATAATAGGCCACACCCAACAGCAGAAGCTCATTAGGATTGGCTACATTAGGGGTGTGTGGACTAACATGCCAAAGGAGTTCCTGCTACAAAAAAGCCCTGGGTAAACAGAATAAGAAGCAAAAGGTGGGTGTGGCTGGATGACTACACTTCTGGTAACATGGGGGTGCGACCTAATATGCCAATGAGTTGTGCTGTCAGGGGTGTGACCTAATATGCTAATGAGTTTCTGCTGTTGGGTGTGGCCTGTTATGCTAATGAGTTCCTGCTGGGCTTTTTCTAAAAAAAAAAGCCCTGCTTGTGAGCAAAAATTCTACTCTGTGAGCTATTGGCATTAAGGTTGTGAGTGAGCAGTTTGGCTGCTGCATAAATTAGTTTGCTCTGGAGCCGTCCTTTCTGAGCTAAGACAGAAATCTGTGAGCTGGAGGCTAAAAAAACTGTGTGCTAGCTCACACTAACTCAGCTTAGAGGGAACACTGGCTACAACCCTCAGATTAGGAGCCAAAGGATAAGAGCCTTTTGGCTTGCACTCCTGGGCACACCCAGGAGGACAAGCACCTGCAAGAGAAGAGAGACCAACACTCAGCCTGGAGTCTCACAAGCTGGCAGCCATCTCTCCACAGTTCCCCATAAAGCCGGTTAATTCTCTCTCTCTCCCCCCCCCCCCCCCCCTCTTATGGTTTCCTAACTTGGAAATTCATTTCCCTCCCCTCAGGCTGCTTCCAACCCAAAGAGGAGGAAAAGACTGCAACACTCCTTCCTCTCTGACAACGTGTGGCGGGAGGGAACCAGGAATTCCTGATCCCTCTCCAGCAGAGCTTTGGGAAATGTGTTTATAATGTTCCCTTTCCTCACCCCCTTCTGGACATGGGGAGAGGTTAATTGAGATCCACTGTGCAAATATCGTGAGAAAGCATGCAAAAGTCTTGCATTGTGAAATCAAGATGAATCATCTCTTTCCAAAGTCAAGGACAGATTTGGTTTTCATTTTGGCGAAGCTAAATCCTGGATGTTTTTGTTGTCTTTGCTTCCTCCTTTAGTCCATAGGATTTTAACTATCACACTGTGGTGTGGTGACTAGGATCTGAGTGATCTGGGTTCAGATCCTCACTCTCAGCCTAACCTACTACACAGAATGGTTGTGGGGATACAACAGAGGACAGAAGAGAGCCACAAAGACCACCCTGAGCTCCCTGGGGGAAGGATCAGATAACAATGTGCTAGATGAGTTGGTGAAAGTTCACATGTGCTTTCTCATTGCTTAGCCGTTGTATACAGAGATTTCATAGTGCCATAGATAACAGTTTTTGCTTGAGGCTGTTTGCAAGCTGTAAGACATTAAAGGTCTTTTACCTCCGTGGAACAGTCCCGAGGCCTAACTTGCAGGTGAAGAGCTTTTTTTAAGGTGGCAAAACTGATACATGGCAAGTTTGCTATCTCATTGGTATGTGAAACAAATCTCATATGTGAAACTCAAGTTAGTCTGTCAGGAAAATCCCAAGTACTTCAACATAAATATATAAGCCCAGTTCACATATCCAAGTATTTGGGGTGGTTCTGTGCCCCCCCCCCCTCCCAGACCTGCAGGAAAAACAGGCCAGAATGAAGATCACATTTGAAGCAGCTATGGAGTGAGAGAGAGGAAGCAAAAGGCTCTGAGACAACTGCATTCTGGACTGAAGAATATCCAGTCCCTGACTCTGGCTTCTCCTACAGGTTTATTGTGCCCCAGCCACCCACAATCAAACAGAAAGGTGGACGCAAGCTTTAAATTAGTGTGTAAACTATGTGCTCCCTGAAGTCTCTTATTTAGAAAGCTGCTCGACGAAGGCTGTACTTATTTGTGAGGTAGGGACCCCAGCTTCTTAGATTTTTGTTTCGACAGACAAGACACAGATGGAGATGAACAACATAGGTTTATAAAATATTTAATAAGGTAAATATCGTAGGGTTGCCAGATCTGAGTTGGGAAATACCTGGAGATTTTGGGGGTGGAGTAGGGCAGGGTCTGGCTGGGGCCGACCCTCTAAAGCAGCCATTTTCTCCAGGGGAACTGATCTTAGTCATCTGGAAAAGAGTTGTAATAGCGAGATGTCTCCAGGTGCCACCTTGCGGTTGGCAACCTATTTTGATGTGTGGGTAACTTAAATGTATAAGGTAAAGCTGGCTCTCAAAGGTTCAAGGCTGCTCTTTTCTCTCACAAAGCACCTTACCACAGAACCTACACATACCAATTAGGAATGATGGGCCCTTAACAGGATGCTTATTTGTCACACTATTCCTTAAGCCGACCCCCAAAACCTAACTAGAAAGACGAATAAAAGCTTGAGTAAGCTGATGCGCCGTTCCAAAGCCATGAAACCCCTATGCAAGAAAGAAGTTTTTCTTCACCCTTCTTAAGCCAAGGCTCTCACCCCTCCCTCCAGTGGAGTTCCGTGGGTTCTGATTGGCTGACAATTACTTGGATTTGCAGAAGGCCTAAATTGCAAGGCTTGGTTCAGAGCACTGGAGGAGAGGTGGGACTTTTAAGGATGATTGCCATGACAGCGGTCTCTGTTTATGAAATGCAAATGGATGGCTTGTGTAGCCTCAGTTTGCATTGGGACCAGGAAAGGAACAGGAGGGGGGGAATTAACTCGTTTACCTCTGCTTGGTTTTACCAGTCAGAATTGCTGTCTTCATTTTAAAGGCCAGCAGACGTGTTCATAAACAAATGCAACCATTTGTAAGTTAAAGGACATCATGATCACAGACAACTGGCACTCAAAAAAGCAAGTTGGCGAGAGAGGGAAATGCTGGTAGCGCACATAATAAGCCCTTTGTTACATGTACATTATGAACCCAATGATGGCAAATTACGAAGTGTGTTCAGCTACCTCAATATAGTCTTACCTTTCATTGCTGCTTTTACATGGCGTGGAAATAGGGTGTGCTGCTAACGTAGTTCCTCTGCCCCTTGTGAGATGTAGGCTAGCACCTGTATGCTGCATGTTGCCGACAAAGGTAATCCCCAAGGGCATAAATGAAGCATGCACATGATGCACCCTCATCCAGGGAGATGAAGGGTCATTTTGTCCCCTTGCTGTTTTCCTGTGGGGGTTAGGGGTTCTGCTCTTGCATACAGGCATCTGGTATATCTAGAATCTGCACTGTGCCTTCGGGCTGTAGCTCAGACATTAAACATTTTTTTTGCATACAGAATGTCTCTGGTTTAGTCTCTGGCATCTCCAGTTTAAGGATTGGGTAGTAGGTGAAATGAAAGATCTCAACCAGAGACCCTAGACAGCCACTTTCAGTCAGAGTAGACAGTCCTGCCCTTGATTGACCCAGGGGTCTGACTTATTTACTATTTGCTTCACTTATACCCCACTTTTCTCACCAGTGGGAACCAATGCTCCCTCTAAGCTATGGAGTCTTGTGAGCAAAAATTCTACTTTGTGAGTTACTGGCATTAAAGTTGTGAGCGAGCGATTTGGCTGCTGCATAAATTAGTTTGCTCTGGAGCTATCCTTCCTGAGCTAAGGCAAAAATGTGTGAGCCAGAGGCTAAAAAACTGTGAGCTAGCTCACACTAACTCAGCTTAGAGGGAACACTGGTGGAAACCCAAAGTGGCTTTACATCATTCTCCTCCGTTTTATCCTCACAAAAACCCCTATGAGGGGGGTAGTTTAGGCTGAGAGAGAGTGACTGGCCCAAGGTCATCTAGCAAGCTTCCATGGTAGACTGGGGTTTTGAACCTGGGTCTCCCAGATCATAATCCAGCACTCCTAACCACTACACCACACTGGTTCTCTGGTATAAAGTTTGGTATAAGGCTGCTTTGTGTGTTCATCCAAAAACTTTTTAAAAAAAAGTTTCAGAGGGTACTCATGTCGCCCTGCAGTAGAGCTTATACCTCAAAAATCTTGTTGTTTTCTAAGGTGCTACTGGACTTTAAGAGTGTTTGTTTGTTTCTAATTCTTTTTGCTTGTTGGTTTTTAGCATCTTTCGAATTTTCTTATTTTGGGAGTGACACAGAGCACCCAATAGACCCACTGATAATATCCTAAATCCAAAGACATGCATGAGAATACTTCGTTATTTCCTTAATAATACCCTAGGCAGAACATCTTCTAGAGCTCACTCCCATACTGTAAGAAGTCTTTTTTGTGTAACCTCACACACACACACAGACACACACACACTAATTTTGCTGTGCTTAATGTTCTTGCAGACATATGGGGTGCATGAACAACCATGGGACAGCTTTCTAAGCTACTTTATCACCTATTTTGGCAGGTCACTGAGCTCCGAGGACTGAGTACCCTCTTGGTAGGCATGGTGAAATGTGACAGCATAGACTTCTTTATCACCAGGCCTCAGACTATCATTGTGGATGTCACTGAACTAGGGACCATCAAGCTCCAGCTGGAGGTGCTTTGGAAGTAAGTATACAGTGACACTTCTCAAACAGGTCGCCTAGCAAGATGCGTTGCCTGACCCCTGGTCATTGTATCAAACCTAAACCCAAGGGTATGATGCAATGTCTGATAAGGCGGCAGAATTATCAAGGGGTAAGAAAATTGTCAAGTGGTAAGAAAGAATCCCCATCTTAATTTCGTTTGTTTGGTCAAATGATTGCAATAAAGAACAATCATATACATAATTTTACTATTAAAAATACCATATAAAAGCAATTAAAAACTAATTCAAATTTAAAATCTAATTACAATATATGTTATGAGATATCAGTATCACCAAACAAAATCTAGCTACCTGGTAGGTAATCTTGGGGTTCTTATCAGGTCTTAATTTTGCTTTGTTTTGTGGATTTTCTATGTGGGAGACCCAGGTTTGGATCCACAATCTAGCCTGTAGGCCCAGTATGCCCAGGAGGTCTCCTCTTCCAAGTACTCACCAGGCTTGGCTTCCAAGATCAGACAAGATCTGGCATGTTCAGGGTGATATAGCTGTACAACCCTGAACATGCCTGATCTCGGACTCCCAATGAACGCTTGCTGGGTGATCTTGCTGGGTGATCTTGGTCCAGTCGTGCATACTCTGCCTACTCTACCTTACGTGGCAGTAGTTGTTGTGAAGATCATAACCCAACGACGTTGTAATCTGTTTTGGTTCCCCACTGGGAACATAAATAAGTAAAAAAATCTAGCCACAATCTGGAGAGCAGAGTGGCCCTTGAGAGCAGAACTTGCGCTCTTTGGTGTGCCGACTGTAATGCTCAGGATGGAAGGGTGTAAAATTTATGGTGGCATGCTGAAACCTTAGCCCTTTCTTCTTATCTACAGACCAAGCTCGGCTTAGGTAGTGGCAAACCACCCCTCCGCTGATGTTCTTCATCTTAAATATGCCTCTTCTGAAGGAACATATTTGGAGGGCTAACTACTGAATGGAAGCCAAGTTCTCTCTTTTAAAAAAAAAAAAAAATCTGGATCCTCCTCTTCATTAGTTGATTCTACTTGTGGCCAAGTCTGGCCTCCGTTTTTAAAAACTGCTGTACGTGGACCTGATGTTCACTTCCTGTGCTCTGTGGGCATGTCTATTCAGATACAAGGAAGGGCCTCCAACAATGAAGCAGAGCAGAAAATGAAGGCTTTTGAGATGGGGACCATAAACATTTACCTGAAATAAGTGAGAGGGAAGAACATCACCTGAATCCAGTTGTTTTTATATGTTTGTCAGCTTTCCGATACTGATTCGTAACACAGTTACTAAGGATTTGTGCGGTTCCTTAACCATTCCAGTATAATCACATTGATTCTACTTCAAAGTTCACCACCTGAGCCTGCAGAACTTCCTTTTTAACCATTTTAAAGGCCATCTTTTGTAGTCAACGGTTTTCTATTAAAGGCAGACTTGAATGCTAACGATGCGTTTATGGTCACTGCAGTGTTATGTTTCTCCTTGGTGGAGGAAGAAATGGTTCTTTAAGAAGAAAGGCAGTGTTCAATTGCATTTTTAAAAATCCGCGATGCAAAGAAATAGATCTCTGATTCAGTTTATTATCTTCCCTCTATGTGGTTAAAAGGTCTCTCTATTCTGTGGCTTGGATCCACCAGAGCATTTCTGCTGATGCAAGGATTTCTGCCTCTGAAGGGTGAATTTATTTTATTTTATTTCTTTGTTTTATATCCTGCCCTCTCTGCAAGCGGGCTTGGGGCGGCATACAAGGCTGCTTTCTTCACACACCCCCCTTTACTGAAGCCTGCAATCCCCCTTCCCCGTTTTATTGATTGCAGTAGGAGAGAGAGAGCGTCATGCTCCATGGGCAGGCATTGTTCTGTCCACTGAAATGCTTTGGTGGATCCAGACCTATATCTTTGGCCTGTAGGCACTGCGGTTGATCTTGGTCCAGAAGGTAAATTGTGTGCACAGCCACTATTAAGATCAGAACTGCATGGGAAGAAAAGAGGGATTTAAGCCTTTACTCCTCATTTGGTTTCTCCAATTAAAACCAGGCTTCCAACACTGTTGTTCCTTTACCCACCGTTTAGCATTTTTCAAAAAAGGATGTCTCCCACCCCACCTTAATAATAGCATGAAGATTCCAAGTTCTGATTAACCCTTCAAGCCCTGCATGGTTTTGTTAAACCCATTCTGTGGCCCTGATCCCGTGCACAAGAGCAGTTCCTATTTTTTACAGATTAGGAGAGGTCCATATGACCCTTCATGTCAGTTTCGACCCTTTAGACTCTGCTTGGATGTTCCCACTTCCTTGCCTTTATGGTGATTTACTTGGCACTAACTTATAACTTATAACTGAGCCCGCTTGCGGGGAGGGCGGGTTATAAATATAATAAATAAATAAATTATATTCAGTTCAGTGCATATGTAGCTTCGGGGAACCGTAAAACAGGCTCTCAGATATTTTTCAGTGTAGTAGGTCTTGCCCTGCTGGCTAAATCACCTTTGGCTTTATTCTGAGCTATACTGTAAAAACTATAGCGCAGACAAATGTCTTGCCGGCTGGAAGGAGACAATATTAAGAAAGCCAGTATGCATAGCCAAGAGCAAAGAAGGTATAACTGATTCAGCGTCTCTTGACTTGTGCCAAACCTTTCCACGCTGCACTTCATAGCCACTCCTAGTTCACCTGATGCTTGCCAACCCTTCCCCGTCGCTGACTGCACAAATCCAGAAGGGCGAGTGTGAGCCAGATTCCCTAAGGGATGGATTCTTTTTCTATACTTGAAGTAAATGTTTTGACTCTAAATACAGGGATGTCTCAGGACAACTTTGGCAATCAGTACAAATTATGTGTGTTTAAAAGCCAGTCCCTAAAGCCAGCGTACTTTCAGAAACAGCACGGGGAAGCAAGAGAAAACTAACCCATATTTATTGTCTCTTTAATAACGTCCCTGCTGTCTGTGAGTCTGTCTGTCTCCTGAACTGCTTTGCCAGCACTAGCAAGGAGAGACAGGGACTGCCAGACAGCTGAGGGGGAGAAAAGGGGCTGCTGGAGTCTCTTTACCAGGGACAGAGCCCTCCCCAAAAGATTCCTCTTTCCTACTAGCAGCAGTAAGGGGGAAAAGCTTACTCAGTACAGAACAAAAGGTGTTTTATCACCAGCAGCCGGCAGCTTCAGGGAACCCCCAAAACAGGCTCTCAGATGTTTTCTGTGTAGATTGTGGCTAGATCGGTCTTGGTTTTGTTCTGAACTAGATTGTAAGCTGCTGTGTAAGCAAATCTCTGATCTGCTGCCCTTTCCTCTGTTTGCATAGATGGAGGGGTTGGGGCAGCAGCTGTAGCTCTTTCACAAACTCTGTATGTCTGTGTTTTAAGTGCCATCAAGTTGTTTCCGACCCTATGAATTAATGTTCTCCAAAACGTCCTATCATCAACAACCGTACTCAGTTTCTTGCAAGCTGAGGGCCGAGGCTTCCTTTGTTGAGTCCATCCATCCCATGTTGGGTCTTCCTCTTTTCCTGCTGCCTTCAGCTTTTCCCAGCATTACTGTCTTTGCCGTATCTGAAGAAGTGAGCAGTGACTCCGGAAAGCTCATCCCCTGCCACCTATTTTGTTAGTCTCTAAGGTGCTACTGGACTCCTGCTCTTTTCTGCTGTCTTTGCCAGTGACCCTTGTCTTCTCGTAATGTGACCAAAGTATGATAACCTCAGTTTGCAGTAGAAAAGACAAAAGAGTCCAGTAGCACCCTAAAGACTAACAAAATTTGTGGCAGGGTATGAGCTTTCCTGAGTCACTGCTCACTTCTTCAGTGACTCACGAAATACCTTGCCACAAATTTTGCTAGTCTTCAAGGTGCTACTGGACTCTTGCTCTTTTCTGCTGCTACAGACAGACCAGCACAGCTACCCATCTTGATCTAACCTCTGTTTGGTCATTTTAGCTTCTAGGAGAGTTCAGGCTTGATTTGATCTAGAACCCACTTATTTGTCTTTTTTGGCAGTCCATGGTATCCATAAAACTCTCCTCCAGCACCACATTTTGGAGAGGAATCAACTTTCTTCCTGTCAGCTTTCTTCACTGTCCAACTTTTACACCCATGTATAGTAATGGGGAATACTGTGGCATGAATTAACTTGATCTTGGTTGCCAGTGACACATCCTTATCCTCAAAATAACCTTTTCTAGCTTCTTCATGGCTGCCCTTCCCGGTCTCAAGCTCCTGATTTCTTGGTTGCAGTCTTCCTTTTGGTTGATGGAGCCAAGGGACAGAAAATCTTGAACAATTTCCTTTTCTTCATCATTAGCCTTAAAGTTATATAATTCCTCTTCCTCTTCTTCCTCCTCTCTCATCATTGCCTGACACCTTTGCCAATTGGAAACCATTCTGTTCCCAACAGTGGCCTCTTGTATTGGTTGCACATCAAAACAATCAGGAGCTGTGGCACACCCATTTCATTTAAAACCAACCATAACTTTTCATGATCCACACAGTCAAAAGCTTTGTTGTAATCTCTGAAACACAAGCTGTTTTTCTTCTGAAATTCTCTTGTGTGTTCCAGTAACCAACGTAATTTTGCAGTTGGATTTCTTGATGCTTGGGGGGGTCAACAGTGGGAGGGCTTCTAGTGTCCTGGCCCCACTGGTGGACCTCCTGATGGCACTGATATTTCTGGCCACTGTGTGATACAGAGTGTTGGACTGGATGGGCCTTTGGCCTGATCCAACATTGGCATCTCTTATGTTCTTATGTTCTTAGTAGTGCCTCTTCCTTTTCTGAATCCAGTGTCTCAAAAATTAAATTAAATATTTGGCTTTAAAAAACGCCAGAGATACTGTGTAATCAGGGCAGAGGGGGGGCTACAGTAATTTCATTTCTGTGGCTGTGCAGTTTTTAAAGTCCTTTGAGGGAAGCAAACGGTACTGGGAGAGGTGGCTTAAACCTAACTGAGAACATGAAAAAGGGGCTGTGGGCTGTCTTCATGGCCCCATTTCCATAGAGTACCTTGATAGCTTTTACTGCTTCTATTTTACTGCTCAGAGGTCAAGATGCTGAGTTGCAGACTGGAAGGTCGGTAGCTCGGCAGTTTGAAATCCTAGTGCCATGTGATGGAGATCCTTTCCGCACTAGACCTTAAATCCTGGTTCAACCCGGTCCCCAAACTTACATTCTACACTACACTCGAGTTCACCCCTGTAATTATCTCGGGGTACTTTTTGTTTCCACGTTACATTGAGGTCAGCCCGGTTTCGCCTCACGCTTGTCCTGGGATAAACGGATGCTGTTATAGCCTATGATAAATGCAAGGTATTGTGTCACGAATTGAACTCTGATAAAACCAGGGATGAGATCCAAGTGCGGAAAGGCCAGAGTGAGCTCCCATCTCTGGCCTCAGTTCCTGCCAACCTATCAGTCCCAAGAGCAAGAAATTGCAAGTAGATAAATAGGTACCGCTTCGGTGGGAAGGTAGCAGCGTTCCGTGTGCCTCGGCGTTTAGTCATGTCGGCCAAATGACCACGGAAACGTCTTCGGACAGCGCTGGCTCTTTGGCTTGGAAACGGAGATGAGCACTGCCAACTAGAGTGGGATTCAGCCAGCTTTCGAGCAAGGGAAACCTTTACCCGAAGAGTCGGACTCGACTGTGCGACTGAACAACAACAATTTTATATTTGCACCCTGCTTCTCCTCAAAAGAGCTTGGAGTAGCTTGTCTCATGGTGTCCCAACTGGACACTGATCAGGATCAGGTCCTCTCCAGCAGCTGAACCTTATCAAGTGCCTGCTGACCATTCTCCAGCCTTTAAACAAATGTGTTAGGCTTTGTGCCTACTACATATTGGTATTGCCACTAAATTGATGCCGCAGACATGGCTTTTCTCACCAAGGAGCACTGGGGATTCTTCAAAGTGTGTGTGGTCTATGTAAATGTAAACTTGTCGGCCCAGCTT